TCCTAGGTTCATCTGACAGTGCTATTAGAAATTGAGTACTAGCCACTAGGGGTTGGGCTACACCCCACAGACCTGTCCTCGCCCAGCTTCAAGACAGGAGGAGGAGCCTGGAGTCAGCAACAGACATCAGTGGCTTAATGGATACGGGAGCTTATTGTCTGAAGCAAGGTCCTGGAGCAGCTCCTGAGGGCTGACTGGCTCCTGGGGGCAGGGAGAAGTTAGCAGTTACGAGGAATTGACGTCAGGTTGGCGCATTGCTTACCAGGGAAACCCGCAGATGGACACGCCTCTCACCGCCCTTTGATAAGAACAATTACCAGCCGGGGCCTGGGGCAAGTATGTAGGAAGGTCAGTCATGTGAGTAGGGTGTAGGTGAAGCAGGCTCTGGTCCAGCAGGGGCCGGGGATGAACAGAGAGCAAGAGAACAGCATCTTGAGTGGCCTGACCCAACACTAGGTGTGCTTGTTGCTGCTGGAGTGTTGTTGCTTTGGGGTCCTCTCAGCTGGCGGAGTAAGGAAATGCGTGCGTGTATACCAACCCTCGTATATACACGTATCTATAGATGTGTTTTATATCACCCTCTGTACCTAGATTAAGGTAAACATGAATTCATATTGATAGCTCCAAAGCTAATTATTACTGCGTGGATCCTTCTAGCCTTTTCCCCTAGCTTATCTGCAGTCTTCCCAAGATAAAGGAGGGGGCCGATGTGTATAATATGCCACCTTTTGTGCAAAGAGGGTGGAGAAATAAGAATATACATATTTGCATAGAGAAACTCTAGAAAGATGTATAAGAATCTATGGAGAGAAATGACAATGTATGTTCACACGAAAACTTGTACACAAAAGCAGCATTACTCATGATGGTGGTGGGGATGGTTGCACAACAATGTGAATGTACTTCATGCCGCTGAGCTATGCACTTAAAAAGGGCTAAGATGGTACACTTTATATTCTGTTAAAAGCACCTTTTTTTTTAATGTAAAAAACAAATAAAGCCACTGCCTTCATTCGGCTTTACTAATCTCCACTCAGCATGTTTTCAAGCTCTGCACCTCTAGCTGTGTGGCTACTAGACAATTGCTTCTAACTGTTGCATGTGATTCCATGGTTTTCCTAGCACACTTTTTTTAAATTGAGATCTAATTTACATATAACACTATGTTAGTTTCTGGTGTAAAACATAATGATTCAATATTTGTATATATTGTGAAATGATCACCACGGTAAGTCTAGTTCATGTCCATCACCACACATAGTTACACATTTTTAAAATTGAAGTATAGTCAGTTACACAATTTGTTTTTTCTTGTGATGAGAATTTTTAAGATCTACTCTCTTAGCAACTTTCAAATACACAATAGAGTATTATTAACAGTAGTCACCATGCCATACAGTGCAGCCCCAGGACTTCTTTCTTTTATAACTGGAAGTTTGTTCCCTTTAACCACCTTCGCCCCTCACCTCCACCTCTGGCAACCACCAATCTATTCTCTATTCTCTGTATCTATGAGTTCAGTTTTTAAATTATTTTACAATTATTTTTAGATTCTACATATGAGTGAGGTCATTGAATATTTGTCTTCCTCTGAGTTGTTTCACTTAGCAGGCTGCCCTCAAGGTCCATCCATGTTGCAAATGGCAAGATTTCTAGCACATTGTGACCCCACTTTCTCCAAGACCAGAGAACCAAGCTCTGGAGCTATTCTGATGGACCTCTGTCCCCTGATGGGGCCTCATCTCTGTAGTACAGTTGGAGGCTGTAGAGAGGGGTCTGAAGGAAATGGGAGTGGCGGGCAGCAGCTGTGGAGAGTGGCGGTGAGTCATCCAGAGATCAGCTCCCCATCACACGTGACTTTGGTCGAGGACACCCAGCATGTGTTGTGCAGGGTGCAGATGGCACGGTGGAGGACCCTTCCCCAGCAGAACCACCGCCGTGCACAGAGGAAGCTCCCCATGCCGAGGACCAGAAGAGACGATGAGAAAGGCTGGCTCCAGCCCCTTGGGAGATGGCAAGGATGTCCTGGGCATTAGGCTGGGGAAGGAGCCAAGTGAACCAGGTTTGAGTCAGGAGGGGCTGGCGAAGATGTGTATGCAGAGACCAGATTCGACTGGCAGGAGGAGGAAGCTCTGGGGGTGCCCCCCGCATCACAATCTAGGTGAATGATGCCCCCTTTAATTGTTCAAAGCACAAATTGCGTACCAGGCCCAGCTGGAATCTAAGTCTGGAGATGATGTAAGCAGAAAGGGTTGGGGGTCCCAGGAGGAAAAGAACCAGATAAGGCTTTCTGACATAAGAGAAGCCATTTTAAAAGGCCTAAGCCATTTTGGGATCTAAGCCAGGTCACAGTGCTTGCCCTTGAACAGGTCTCAGTAATAATGATCTTAAGGGAACAAAAGAACAAACAACTTAGGCAAGAGAGGTAACACAAGCGAAGTTGTAAAGACTTCCAGTTCTGTTTCAATGGTAAAGATTAGCGTGAAGCGTATATCTGGAGGGAACTCTAATTCAAAAAGATATATGTGCTCCAGTGTTCGCAGCAACACTATTTATAATAGCCAAGACATGGAAACAACTTAAGTGTCCATCAACAGATGAATGGATAAAGAAGATGTGGTGTGTGTGTGTGTGTGTGTGTGTGTGTGTGTGTGTGTGTGTGTATAATAATGGAATACTACTCAGCTATAAAAAATAATAAAATAATACCATTTGCAGCAACATGGATGGAGCTGGAGATTGTCATTCTAAGTGAAGTAAGCCAGAAAAAAAAGAAAAATACCATGTGATATCACTTATATGTGGAATCTTAAAAAAAAAGACACAAATGAATTTATTTACAAACAGAAACAGACTCACAGACATAGAAAACAAATTTGTGGTTACCGGGGGGAAGTGAATGGGAAGGGATAAACTGAGCTCAAGACTTGCAGATATTAACTACTATATATAAAACAAATAACAAGTTTCTTCTGTATAGCACAGGTAACTGTATTCAATGTCTTGTAGTAACCTACAATGAAAAAGAATATGAAAAGAATATATATATATGTATGACTGAAACATTACGCTGTACACCAGCAAATGACACACATTGTAAACTGATTGTACTTCATCTAAAAAAAAAAAAGAAAAATTAGCCTGAAGCTCTCAACCAGCAGATAACTGGAGTCTAAGGGATGATAATGTTGACCTTTACTTTTCTTTTCTTTTCTTTCTTTCTTTTTTTTTAAGTGAAGGTAGATTGATTATTCAGAGAGATACATTGAAAGGCAAGAGAAAGGCCATGAGGTGTGGGGTTTGGGTGCTCAGATTAAAAGTAGGTACACAGTCCAGACAGAATGTGGGCCATCTCTGAAAAGGGAGAGAGAGGAGCCAACGTTGACCTTTTCTGACCCTCGTGCCTTCAATCAGCTAAACCTTGGACTCTGCTGACTTTTGCCCCAATTCCATGCTAAATTCTCCTCTGCTCAAACCCCTTCAAGAATAAGCATGTATTCTTAGCTTAAACCTTCCCCAATTTTGCTGTCTGGGGAGACACTGCTTTGGGAAAGATGCCAGGTGTTTTCCTTAATTGCTGCAAATAATAAATCCTTTCTTTTCCTGTTCTTTGGCTTGGCTGTCTTTTGGCTCCACATCCACCAAGAGGCAAACCCAGTTTTGGGGTAACAATGATGAGTTTACCCTCTGTGGGGAGTACAGTGCTTCACCCCCCACAATCTCAGTCGTCTATACAGCACCCCTGTGAGAGAGGCACGTCACCCCCAATTGACAGATGAGAAAAGTAAAATAACTTGCCTAAGGCCACCCAGCCAGAAGCTGGCAGTGTCCTCTGCTAGGGCAAGGGACAAGGAAGGGGTGGGGTCAGCTGGGACTGCCTGGTCCTCTCAGAAGTGCAAAGGGCCTGCTAGTTTTCTGGCCTCCCCCAAAGCTCCCTGCCCCACCCTGGGACCTTTGCTCCTGAGCTGCTCCGTAGAGAAAAGGCGGTGATGGAAGATAGGCATGGAGGCATGAGTCTTTAAGATGTTCCTTAACAGAGCGTGACCTTCTCTCTCAGACAAGGCTGCAGAGGGAAGAGGATGGGAGAAGGAGGTGGCGGGGGCTGGAAATGATCCCTCTGGAGGCGGTGGGGGAGGCTATGGAGCAACTGGACTGGGTTTAGTCTTTGAAGTCGCCAGAGAGGCAGAGGGGAGGGCTGGTGCAAAGAATCAGTCACTGGATCCAGAAGGATTGGCATCCCAGCCCCCTACTAAGCCTAAGAGGGACAGGCGGGCTTAGAAGGAGGAAGAGAGGCTGAAAGTATACAGACACAAGAAGGATTTAGATTCATTCGTCCTTAATTTAAGGGAGTTTGAAGGCTATCTCCAAGCAAGACACTGAAAAGACTGCATGCCCAGTTCCTTAGAGCGGGAAGCCATGGAGAGAGCGGGAAGGACGGGAGAAGTGGGGGGGGGGGGCGCTGCTGGTGGCCTTGGTCTTCCCACTGCAGCAGGGGGCTGGGGGCTGGGAGTAGGGGGCGTCTGGGGCACAGACTCCAAGGTCAAGGACTGGTGGACCAACCCGTGAGGACAATAGCTTGGCAGAAAGCAATTTTCTAACAGTCAGAATGATTTGAATCTGAACACATTTAAGGCAGGAACGAGCTCACCTGTGGCTGTCTTCACCCCTCCCTTCCTCATGCCCAGGAAGGTGAGTTCATTTCTATGACAGGCTGGCTCCCGCAGATGTAGGATTTTGACCGCTGGAGTCCCCAGTTTGAGGCAGGAGATGAGAGGGCAGGCTCAGGGCCCTGCTGCTCCCATGTACCGCGCTCTGTATAGTTCACAGACAGGGACTCCTGTGCACTTAGCAACCCCCGCTTCCCCCCACTGCCCATAAATGCCAACAGCGCCCTCTAGCTTCTGTGACAACCACACATTTCTAAATGCTTCCTGGAGGTAGGGTGGTATCACTCCCAACTGAGAGCTTACCTGGTCCCCTCCTTTGGTCCTGAGCAAATGACTTACACCCCTGCCCGTCTTTTCCTGGCACAGAAACACAGAGACACAGAAGCCAGTACCATGTGTGGTTCATTATAATAATGCACAGGAGGGAGGGGGAAAAGAGAGGCCTTGAAGCAGGAGGATGTGAGCAGCACAAGAGGCGTGCACAGACTCCCAGCCTCCCAGCCTCCCAGCCAGGGGATACAGGGGAAGTGTCGTCTAATTTTTAGTGAAATGTACTCAGACAGGGAGGGAGACTGTAGGGTAAATCCAGCCAGAAGCCTGGCTAGTGTTAAAGGAAAGCACTTTGAGCTGGGAGACTGGGCCTGGAGGTCCCACTGCTGGAGTAAGCCCGGTGTCTGGGGCCCAGGCACTACTACCTGGAGCCCATTCCACCAGCAGAGACTGCAGAGCTGACGGCAGCAAGGAGTAACCCCCTCCCCAGGCCAGAGCCCCCGGGGGGCCGGTGGTGGTGGTAGGAAGCCTGGCTCTGGCAGTGACTCTATCCCCACATGGTTATCTGCAGCCACTGTGGGGAGAGAAGACAATCAGAGGAGGGGGGCGGTGGGTGTGGGGCAGGATGTCGGGAGAGCAAAGGGCGGGTGTAGCCGTGGCAGTGTAGGGGGTGCCCAAGATCCCTCCCATGTACCTGGTTCAGGTTCAAGCAAATATGGCCAGTATTCCTGGGGTCCATGGTTAGAAAGTATGCTGTTTTGGGGAAGAGGCAAAGTTGAGAAGGGTTGGGAGCCGAGTCAGTGGTCGGCGAGACCCATTCCCGCCACTAGGGAGGATGTCAGAAAGGGTGTAAGAAGCTTTTCCCCCCTGCTCCCCAGCTAAACCCACTGAGCAGGGACTCAATGATAAGGACTTGCTGCGAACAAATGAGGGCCAGTTCTGAGTGCTCTCCAAACACTATCTAATTTAATCTGTACCTCTAGCCTATGCAGGCAGTGCTATTACCTACATTTATGGATGTGTAACATCTGTGCGATGGAGGCACAGAGAGATAGAATGACTTGCTCAAGGCAACAGAGCCAGCAAGTGGTGGAGCTGCGATTTGAACCCAGATGATCTGTGCCCGGTAAGGGGCAGGGGTTCTGGAGGGGGTGCTCTTATGTGGGCACGTGGGAGAAGACTAGTGGTCCCCTGGCCTAGGGTGGGGAGTGGGCAGGTGCCTGACTCACTGAACATGGCCTTCAGCCTCAGGAAACAGCTGATGAAGCTGTCAAAATCAATGATCATGTTGTCATTTGCATACCTGGCCACCAGAACCTGTGTCACCTTGTTAGTCAGTTTGATACCTGGGAGAGAGAGGGGTGCGGAGGAGGAGAGTCCAGGCCTCTTGACTGCTGCCTCCCTGCTCCCTGCCCCAAAGCCCTCTCCTGCCCCCTGGCCACCTGCTTTCTCAATTGCCAAGCGCATCTCATAGGAGTTCAAGGTGCCTGAGTGGTCTTGGTCACACTCTTGGAAGATGTCCTGAAGGGACAGACAGATAGGGTAGGACCGTGCACATGGCATGGTGGTTGAAGTGACAAAAAGCTTCACACCTGCTACCCAAGTCTCCCGGGGCCCCCTGTGATGGCCCAGCTCTGAGCCCCCAGTACTCCTATCACCCAGTGACTGTAGGGTTATCTCCTAGCACCCTGCCCAGGGCTCTCTGCCTGTGTCCTTTATGCTGGCTGATACCTGCGCTATACTGGTTATTGAATATTTTGACTAGTTAACATACCAGCACATCAACAGCTCCATCCTGGGGTGTGTGTGTGTGTGTGTGTGTGTGTGTGTCTGTCTGTCTGTCTGTCTAGTCAGGGGCTCCTTTTCCAGCTCCATCCATACTAGTCTCCATCCCTCTTGAAGATCTTTTTCTCATCCCCATAAACTGCCTCCTCAATGCCCTTTACCGTCCATTTCTTGATTTTTCTCCACAGGATCCGGAACTCCTGAAGCCCCAGTTTGCCAGAGCCATCTTTCTAGTGGTTGGTCAAGGATATCAGAGGAGGGGGCAGGGAGGGCATCCTGGGGGCTGGGAGGCAGAGGGACTCACCGAGGTGGGGGCACAAGACCGAAGGATCCCGAATGGTAACTGTGGTAACAGCCAGAGGAACTGGCCTCTTTTGCTACCACAGAGCCTGATCCCCATATGGGAGGAGGGCGTGGCTGGACAGAGGTGGCTACCTGGGGGTAGGGGGGCAGGGGCAGGGGAGCATCAGACAAGACTGCCCATTGGACAGGAAGATACATCCAAGAGGTTGATCATACAGCGGCACACATCCAGGCTGAACGCCCTTTGGTTCTGAGGTTTTGACTGTGAGGACGGGAGTAGGGAGGAGGAGAAGAGGAGGCATGAGCAGGGCAAATTCGG